GGGACCTATGGCGACGCGTCCTCTCCCAAGCCGTTCTCCGCCCCTACAGCCGCCGTCGCCGCTTGTTGCAGCCCCTGGGACCGTGGTCTGATTCTCTGGACCGTTGGACCTGGCTCCTCTCTCGCACATCTTTGATCCTCTTCCATCGCACGGCCTCCAACCTGTCCATCTACCGACCCATCAACTCCCGTTCTCATCGGACCTTCCGGCGGGATCTTCATCATAACTGGACGGGGCCCCTTCCTGGAGACGTCCAAAGGGCATCAGTTGACCTTCACCCACGGACAGCCTATGTCACTGTCACAGGCACAGCCCCGGTCGATCCACCAGATCCGGAGACATTGCCAGCCTCGATCCTTCACATCTGGCGGGAATTGGCAGCCGACATGGACAACGAGTGCGGCTGGGTCCCGGAATACATCTACATTGACGGTGATGAACAAGTCCTACTGGAGGCACTGGAGAAGGGAAAGCTACGGATGATCAGCGATGGCTCCTTCAAGCAACAAGTGGGCACCGCCGCAGTCCAGCTATGGACAAGGGGACATCTGGGGTTTTGGCATCCTGTGTGGCTGGTTGTTCAGGGAGAGCAGGTGGAGGTTTCTTGATCACTGGTATGCACTGAAACGCATAGAGGAATTGGAGGAGGGATTTGCCCTTGCCCTGTTTGCAGTACTTGGGGATGACGACCTTGGTCAGCATGCCTTGGATAGGAAACAGTGGAGCCAGGGAGGTGCAGGTCTGGGAGGTAGTGTCATGGGTGTTGATGAGTTTCCCAATGATACCATCTTAATGATATTGGAAGCCTTGTTACTGATCTGGAGGATCTACCAGAACCGCCAGAAGAAGAGATTGTATTTGAGCCTGAAACGCCTCAAGTAGCAAAAGTCACTCAATCTGGGCAAAGTATGCGCAAGCTGCAATGTCTGGGCTGAATCTTTCTCAAGTTCCAAGCTGATTATGAAGAACACGACGCTATTCTGATCGCTTGTTGCATGATGCAAATCAAGGCAAAGTTTGATACTGATGAAGGTCTGAACTTCATCCAACAGTATTACATCAATCACTGAAGAAGTTTGGTGATGATGGAAAGGATGCTGTGGATATGGAATTGAGACAAATGCTTCTGAAGGATTCTTTTACTCCCAAATTTGTCAAAGACATGACCTGTCTGAGGAAAAGAAGGCCCAATCAGCAATGATGTTACTCGTGGAGAAGCAATTTGAAAAGACAACAATTAAAGGTCGCCTACTATACCAAGGCGATGTAACTCGTGAATGGTTATCGCAAGAGGACACTGTAAGTCCAACCTCTTTGCAAGAAGCAATCACCACTACTTGTGTTATTGATGCACACAAAGGTAGAGATGTAATGACAATGGACGTACCAAACGTTTTCATTCAAACTTATATGCCTGAAGCTAAGGAAGGAGAAGATTGTATCTACATGAAAATCACTAGCGTGATGGTCCAGATATTGATTGACATGGCCCCAGAGTATTGCAAATACGTTGTATTAGAGAACAGAAAGCGAGTAATCTATATGCGGATACTACATGCTATATATGGGATGTTGCAATCAAGCCTCCTATTCTATAATCAGTTTCAAAGTGATTTGGAGGCAAAGGGATTTGTTTTCAATCCGTATGACCCGTGTGTTGCTAACAAAGTTGTTAATGAAAAACAGCAAACTAACAGGTTTCATGTTGACAATCTTATGTCAAGTCGCATGGACCCAAAAGTAAAAGACGAATTTGTTGAGTGGTTGAACATGAGATATGGTTTGATCAAGGTGTGCACAATTGTCAGAGGAAAGATACACAGATATCTTGGAATGACTTTGGATTTCTTAGTGAAAGGAAAACTCAAGTTCCTATCAAGTTCAACAAGGATTCAAAGCAGGAAACACCAGCTGGTAACAATTTACTGGAAGCTGGTAAAGGAAAGTTACCGTCAGATCTTCCATACTACTGTTATAGAAAAAAGAATATCAGGAACACCTGGCAGAACGATGATTTTTGTCATTGTTCAAAGAGCGGACAGACCTTCTCCAGTCATTTTCGAAATCCATGTGATCATGTGGGATAAAAGATTAAAACTCATATTTAAGAGCAAAAGCTAATGATGACCAATTATGATTGGTTCAGACAGAAACAATGAGAAGCGACCAAAGCAATGAAAAGCAACCACAATGCGATCAGAAGTGAGCAAAATAAGTTTCTGCTCATTCCAAATGGAAATTACTTGTTCCAAATGGAAATTACTCGTTCCGAATGGAAATTACTCGTTTCCCAAAGCGATGAGAAGCGACCAAAGCGATGAGAAGCAACCAAAAGTGAGTAATTTTTTGGGGGCTGAATCTTGGGGCATTTTTTCACAGCTGGGACTTTGGCAAAACAGGCTCGCTGAAAAATCTCAAAACAAATAATACTGGTAATCACCAACGACATAAAAGACATAAAAGACAAAATGAAGTTTTGTGAGCATTATTGTTGACACTCACAATCTCCTCTCCAACCCTTTCTGGTATTGCTCTACGTCTCAAGCCAAGACTTGATTGGCAATAAAACATCACAGGGGCATTTTTTCACAGCTGGGACTTTGGCAAAACAGGCTTGCTGAAAAATCTCAAAACAAATGGTACTGGTAATCATCAACGACATAAAAGACATAAAAGACAAAATGAAGTTTTGTGAGCATTATTGTTGACACTCACAATCTCCTCTCCAACCCTTTCTGGTATTGCTCTACGTCTCAAGCCAAGACTTGATTGGCAATAAAACATTGCAGATGAAGATCATGGGGGGGTAGGACTGAACAGTCCGGGGGATATTTTTGTGGGACTTCCAGAAACAATGAGAAGCCACCAAAATGATGAGAAGCCACCAAAAGGAGAAATAACTCACATTGCAAAGCGAGTAATTTTTATCCGGAACAAGTAATTTTTATTTGGAACAAGTAATGTTGACTGGGAACAAGCAATTTTTACTTGGAACAAGTAATTTTTATTTGGAACGAGTAATTTTATAAAAGTAATGAGTCGCGAACTGAAAGCAGTTTTTCCATCATTATGTCAGGGAGTTGCGGGGAGTTTGCATCTGATGCGTGTGACGAGTCGTAACTAGTTATCTATTCCGAATCAAACCGTGCATGCCAAACAAAACAACACCGATCAGAGCGGAGGTTTCCAAACAAAACCAAACGACACAAAACCACACGTCTTGTGTTGTTTCGGAATAAAACCAAATGAAACAAAACCGCGCAATTTTGTGTCGTTTGGTTTTGTGTTGTTTGGTTTGGTTTTGTTTGGTTTTGTTTCGTTTGGTTTCGTTTTGTTTGGTTTTGTTTCGTTTGGTTTCGATATATTCCTAAAAATTGTTCGTTTGGTTTCGATTGGTTTTGATATATTAAAAAATGAAAGATATTAAGTGTTGTTGATTCTGCGCCTTCCTTTTCGAGGCGAACGATATTTCAATATATCAAAACCAATCAAAACCAAACGAATAATTTTTAGGAATATATCAAAACCAATGAAACCAAACAAAATGAAACCAAATGAAACGAAACCAAACGAAACAAAACGGCGCAAATTTTCCAAAACAACACAAGACGTGTGGTTTTGTGTTGTTTGGTTTCGTTTGGAGACCTCCGCTCTGTTTGGTGTTGTTTTGTTTGGCATGCGCGGTTTGATTTGGAATAGATGACTAGTTACGACGCGTCACCCGCATCAGATGCAAACTCCCCGCAACTCCCAGGTGTGCCTTTAAATGAATTATTAGTGACTAAAAATTTAAAAAATGTCTCTTTTGGTTCTAAACTATTTATGAACAACAGATGTTCTTCCATATGAGAAATGTCTTCTTTGTATATTAGTCATCTCACAAGAAGGAACCACAAGGAATTCTAAAGTCATCAATCTGCTGGGTGTTCCAGGGATATGCCGCATTTTGTCGTGAATCTGATTAGAGATTGGAGGCAGGCCGGCTTGATCACCCTTTCTGCAGGGGGTTGGTGATTCAACATCTTCCGTCGTCATGGAATTCAATCATTGTTTAAC